CTATATTCCTTCCAATTAAAATACGTTTCATATATGAGTACTATATTCTATGAAATCTGAATTGATGAAGCTTGCAAATGCAGTTAAATAATACGGTATAATAGAATCTTTAGCTATTTGGATGTTTCAGTCATAAATTTCGACAGTAGTTTGTTTCAGTCATAAATTTCGACAGTAGTTTAGGCTTTAAATTTGAATCAATTAAAGTCTGTCTTACGTACAAAGTCCCTCCAATGGCCGAGCGGTTTAAAGTTACTAAACAGTGGTAGTTTGTTTCCGGGTTTCGAATCCCAGCGAACGCGCTGCCTGCGTTTTCGTTGTTTTCCCCATGAGCAATGTGACTACAGTTCTCTTTCTCTTAGAAAGCCCTTCATGAAGGCATCCATTTCCTCAGACAGATAGCCCTCGAGTGCGTTGCCATGATCAGAATAAAGCAAACAGAACCAGTCTTAAATATAAAGAAATGTCAATAGAAAACATATGCAAGTTTAAAAACTATTCAAGTTTCTTAGATCAAAATTAATTAGTTTTACGCTTCATGATGAATTTATTAGTCTTAGTCTAAGTTATTTTCTAAAACTTAACGCGATCACCGTGAATTTTCACAAGAGTAAATAATAACTAATTACATCGAACATTTATTAGGTAAAATGACTGTGATTTGCCAAAACAATTCGATGCCCAAAACTTATGACCTAAAATAAGTCTTATGATCTAAAAGACAGTTACAGCCTAATATATACTTATCTCTCTCTCTATACGATTATATATCAAATTATATTTCCTTTGTTAGCGTAAAATAAAACATTAAAGGATGATCGTTTTATGATGTGGTAGCTTTAGAATTTTCTATGCAAATAACAAGATCCAAAATGGATTTATGCATATTCATAGGCTAATTTATCTTAATATTTTTTTTAAAAAAATGTGTTTTTTTTGTGTTTTTTTTTTTCATTTTGTCTACCTAGGTAATATTTAAAATATAAGAGCATAAATTAACTGCGGTTTTTGAGGCGTATACTTTGCTGCTCCTAAATGCACTTTTCACATTCTTACTATATCCTTTGCTTTTGTGCAAACATTCTGGAACAATTTATGAAAGAGTGTATTTTTTGTGTCTAACCGAATTTAAAAATTAATTTAACTACTAATGTTAATATATAACATAGCCATTTAAAGATAATTTTATAGAGAATTAAAAATAGTTTTAAGATCTAAAAGTACGAAATTAATACGCATGAGAAAATGTAAAGGAGTTATAAAGCTAAAATCAACATTTTTTATAAAACTTGTAAACAACACATACTTTTTAAAGTCACGAGAAAAAATAAGATAAAATTAGAGAATATCAAATATTTTATATTAATTTAGAATTTTTAAGCATGTGTTTAGTTACATTTGTTATTCAGATTCAGTTGGATTTTTAATTACTAATGCACATCGCTCGAGCATACTACTCCAATTTTGTCAGGATTGTTCATTCGAATAAGAAGTGCATGAAATCCTGGCTTCAGTTCACTCTACTTTTTTGCTTGCGCTCTTCAAACTGAAATTTTGTTTCAGTATCATTCAAATATTTTTATCTGGTTTTAGATTTGGCGATTAGGCAAGCCATTGCAATTCTGGAGCTGAATCAACCGGAAACAATCTGTCTACTGTTTGTGTTCGATGACACGGTGGGTTACCATCCTAAAATTTATGAACAAATTGTTGTTTTTAAAACATTTTAATAGCTGATGGGTACATTTCTCGCTCATAACAATTTAATATATTCGGTCTCAATCATTTTTCCTTCTGCGATTTGAAGTTGATCTAATTAATGTACTGAGATAAACATCATAAATTAATTCCAGTATTAGGCTTTATTGCAGTATAATATGCTTTATATTTTTCAGTATAATGACATTGTACAAATGTAGCTTCTGCTTCTGGTGTTTATCACTCCAGACAAATTTATGATATTAATTCTCAGTCCATCCCTTTTACATGACCTCGTTTCCACAGCAGTCGCTTAAACTTCTGCTTTTTAATGAACGTTTTTCCCATGTTTACGGGATTTCAACTCATTTTCATTTAATATGGCTTACAGGCCACTTAAGTTACTAAAGGATATAGCTTATTTTCTTCAGTTTTTACAATTTTATATTTTTACAACAAAAGATCTCATAAATGAATAGATTTTTTTTTCATCATATCGCACTTTACCAAGGCCTTTGATTTCTAGGATGATCTCCCAAATTTCTAATTAGATTGAAGTTTTCAGTTCGCATCTCACTCTCGAGTAACAAGAGCCAAATTTCATAGAATTTAGCAGCAGGACAGTCCTTCATTTAGGTTAAAATAACACTCCGAATAACGGTTTAAGGAGATGTCAAACAACAAGAATCAGCCTGCCTATATGCAAATGAACGAGATAAGATAAGAATGGCTGGAAAGAAGTTAAGCTTCTGCTGCCATCTGAAACAAGAAAACTTAACTATAATTTCCCTAAAATCTGAGGGTAAAGATGAATTCTACATCTTCATTAGTGAAATCGATTTTCTAGAGGCGTTTCACATAAAGGAAACTTTTTCTGTTCTAGTTAACGATGCTCATTCCAACCCATCTTTACGTTCAGTCATTAAAGAAATGAAATTATGTTTTAGTTTTCTTATTTTATCAATAGAAATCGCCAGCATCTTAACTTCTTTCTTTCTCCTTATCACCATATCTTATCTCGTTTATTTTCTATTAGAGAGGTAAAGAAGATCGTTCTGTAGTTAAACCATGGAAACTAGTCCTACAAAGTTTACAAATATTACGCTGATTCTTGTTGTTTGACTTCTCCAGCTATCCTTCATTATGCGATGCAATAAGTTTAGCTTGCGTAATTACTTCGTTTTCAAATTATATCCTTTAAAGTATTATAAAAGAAATTGAAAACTGCAACATAGCTTTGAATATTGCAAATTTTGGCGATACTTTTGCGCAAGCTAACTATTTCCAAGACTTCGTTAAAATCATTTCTCGGGTAGCTGAATTAATCTAATAAGAGGGACAGCTAATATAAAATGTCTTATAGATTTTTATACTTTTCGTCGGATGAGACGCATTAATAAGACGAAAATTCCAAATGAGATAGAATACCGCCCTAGAGTTCAGGAGCAAAATTAAAATAGTTGGAACATTTGCGTAATGTGCTAAGAGATAATTGTGGTCTTCTCCAAAGCACGGGTAATGATACATATAAAATAAAGTACAGGAGAAAAGATGAAATCTTACGGATATGAGCCTTGATATTTATAACGCAGCTGTAATATTCTATTTGACTATAAAAGTCCTGTTAGTAAGGAACGATTAAATGAGCAGAATTAACTCTCTTTTGATTGAAAGGAATCATTTCGTAAATAAGTTCGTCAGACGTTGTGAAACACTCTAGACACATACAGATTGGAAACAGAGACATCTTTCTTCTTTCCATCATTGATAAATTGAATGATTCTAGCAAGTCAATATTTTAAAGAAAGCAGTTATCAGTCTTTAACGGGAGGAACTCAGATACCAGAGAGATCAACTAGTGGAGGAGAAAGAATTTTACTTTATTTAGTTTTGCTTAGTTATACGTTTATTAGCCAATCGTTCTCGCATAATTTTTCAAATAATGCTATTATTTTAAAAGATAAAGAATTTTGCATTTGTTAAAGTAAAAATAATTTAAATGTTTGTTCAGCTGATTGAGCTGATTCGAATGCAGCTTGTTTTAAACACTATAATATGCAGTGCTAATAATAAGTAAATGCTAACAATATTTCACAGTATATTATTATTAACATTTGTGACAAATTGAACAGGTAGAAACAATATTATGATGTTTAGTCTTTAATACTAATTCAATTTTATTTGCTTAGTTGAACAAACTTTGTTTAATAAAATACTACATATACCTAATGAGTCAACATTATTCTCTTCAAAACATAAAAACACGTTTTATTCAATAAATTTATAGTGACAGTGTGCAGCATCCTATTGCAATTAATAATTTCAAATTAAGTTTACTTATATTTACGCAAATTTTGAGTTATTGCTTTAGTTTTGAATATATTTTGATAATCTATTGAATAATTCTTATAATAGTACTGCTCCAAATTTGTATGGAATTCTCTTACTAAAATTCCACTATTTTAGCTCTTATAAAACTTAAAAGTAAATTTTAGATAATTCAGCATAATTTACTTTCTACGCACAGTTTTAGTTCGCAATTTTTTTCTGTCGTTATGGTAAATTGAGGTATCTCCTGCAATTTCAAAATTCATTGAAAGCTTGTTGGATGCAATTAGCAATACCCTAGAACAAGACATCATACACTTGCAAACCTTTATGATTTGAAGAATATATTTTTTGGATTCTGTTAAACTGCCAGGTGTTTAGAGAATATTATTGGCCTCTAATAAGCAAGAATCGATTAAACGAGCATCAATCCAATAATGAATCAATCCAATAATGAATTTCTCAACATATAACGCGTAGTGAAATATTGCTCGAGTAAATACAAGGGAAAATAATCATCTCGGAGACATCAAATCAGAAGACTTTTGTATTAAACCAAAATTACAGTAGAAAGGCCCCGCTTAACATTTTAATTACCCATTTCTGCGAAAACTAAAATAATCGACAAATCAACATAGAACTCGTTTGTACTTCATTCAGTATCTAAATAACACATTTTCTCTAGCTATATTTAAACAGAAATGTAATATTCTCAATTTTGAAATGACGAAAAAAATAACATTGCTGTACAATCCTTATGAAGAGAATAATTTTTATTTGTGAAGAGTCTGTGAAACATTACACATAGAATGAGATTTATATTTCTGCGCATGATTATTGTCTGAGTAGTTGCATTCTGTACATTTTGTTCATTTTATTATCGAGATATTTTTCAGTCATATGATATAATATAACAGCTAAAATAATATTCAAATTTTTATTTGGATGTTAAGACTTCACTTTGTGTTTTTGCTAAGCAAGGTTGTTTATATCTTTTTGGCATTGCTCTTAGTTCCAAAAGCAGTATAGAAAGCATTATCCGAAATTCGCTTATAACAAAAAACATAGGTGTGTAAAATCCAAATCTTGATATTTTAGCTATTTGTGGAAACTTTCTGAGCACAATTTGATTTACTGAAACATGCCTTATATTTAGAATTAAGTGTGGAGCTTCACTTGCAGCTGTGACTGAACTCGGCTGAATTCAACAAAAAAAAAAAGAAAAAGAAAAAAAAAGAAAAAAAAAAAAAAGAAAACTCAAACACATGTTTCTGACCTTTGGCTGAACTTCTTTCTTCACGTCTGACAGCTTGAATAACGTTAAGAAATCATTTGTCCTCCAGGGGGACAAATAATTTTATAAACCTCTTCGAACTTTCAATTCTGAAGGAGTAGTAGAAAGTTTCCACTTGTGCTGTAAATGAAATTTACAGATTTTGAATTACGCAAGTATTTTCTTAGTACCAGAGTTGCTTTTAGGAACATTTTACTTACCTTGTCAAGTTCAGTTTAAGTTTAAATTGCTTAAGAGTTATTTAAAACTGACTGTTGGATAAGAATAATTATTCCAAATTTCTTCACTGTCTGTTAATAATAATATTTGTAATGACATTAATTTTGCTGTTATATTCAACGAATTTGCTGAACCGAATGCAAAATAATACAGTTAAAATAAGAGATATTAATTTATACAATATAAGAAACATTTTTATTTAATTTTTGTATAGGCTGAAATTATTTGTAAATTATAATGAATCTATCTTATTTTTTGTTATTATTACCCATACTACAGTCTATTGCGTTAAAATAGGCACTTCAAAGCCGTTTCCAGCTCCTGCCGTTCCCATGGTTATAAGATAAGTTGGGCGATGTAAAATAACCTTAAAGTTGCAATTTTAAAGGACGAGACTATAACAGAGTCCAAATTAAAACGTTCCATGGAACAAAAATAAAGTATAATATAAAATTGTCTGTACAGTGGTTCTTTTGGCTTATAAATGTTTGCTTATGTTATAAATATTTTAAAAGTTTGTGAAAGGTCATTTTCAAAATTAAAATATATTACAACTCTCTTACGCAGTTCACTTGCACAGTCAAATTTAGAAACTTTTGTGTTGATATCTGAAACTGATCGATGAAACCAAATAGAAAAAGACACTGTTAGTTAGCGATCTAGCTAATGCAAGTGAAATTTTTTTCTAATAAGTTATTATATTAAAGAAGATTTCTTTCTTATTATACTTTAATAATCTTTCTGCATATTTTTATATTGATATTTAAAATATTTAAATAATTTTAATATATTTGTTCACTTTTATTCTTTTATTATATGTTATTTTCAATCCTTTACAGCCCACCAGCGACCGAGTGGTAAAGACGTTGAACACTAATAGTTCGGTCCGAGGTTCGAATCCCGCAAACGGGCTGGCTGCATGGGCGTTTTCGTGGTTTTCCCCATGTGTAACGTGTATACGAGCCAGTGTCCCTTAGAAATTCCTCCCCGAAGGCATCCCTCTAGGCAGATAGCCCTTGTGTACTTTGCCGTAATTGAATAATCCAGTCCAATCCTTTACAGCATAATCTATTTTTTAAATGCAACGAGTTACAGAGATACATATATATATTAAATATAAACTTTTTAAATCTTAAATTAAAAATCTTAACATTCTATTTTATATCCCAGGAAAGTTGCATGCATCGCATTAACATCCAGCGCCATCTTTAAATAAAATAGTTTGTGTATATTATATTTAATGTGCATTCAATGGAATAAGTTTTGACTTTTATAAATGTTTTTAACTACATAATTAGAATGTTTTGTGATGACATCTATTGTTGTGATTGTTAAATAACGTTGTTTATATTTCAATCAATTTTTTTACGTTAAATTAATTTATTATCTTATAAATAAATTTTAATTACCACACTTAATTCATTCATTAATTATCGATAAATAATTTTTTTAATTATAAGCCTTTTCAAGTTTTGAGTAACAATGAATTAGTTTCCATCCCTGGTTAGAATAATCTTATTCGCTCCTGGCACTATAAGGTATTTCTCCTGCCTTCTTAGCATGTCTTTGTGGTGTAGTTTTCAGCACACTCGGCACATATTCGAGAGGTCCATGGTTCGAATCCGACGAAGGCATTGCTTATTTTTCATATCTCCTGCTTCCAAATAACCTAATGTCGCTACAATGGCGTCCGAACTAAGATAGGTGTAGATGATGATTCTCCACCACCAGGATTTGGCGACTGGGTCCCCTAATTCCTAGTTGCTCTTTAAAAGGGGGAGTATATAAGATATTTCTTCCGCCTTCTTTACCTAATATCTCTACAGCACAAGTATATATATTTAGGCGCATTTTTATGAACTATCATAATATGATATCTGAAAGTGAATGAAAAAGTAGCTATCGAGCAAACGTACCCGACGGGCAACTAAGTTGTCAGGCAAACGTATCGTCGAGAAAGCGGTGTCGGGCATCGGAGCTGTTCCGTAATCGTACCCACCGGGAATCTGCCAAACGTCGGCCAAACGTACCGTTAAGTAAGTGGCGTCGGATGCGAGTCGGGCAAACGACCAAATGTTGTTATAAAATACACAGCATCTAACTACGCTTTACAACGTGTCCAGGATTTCTACGATTTGCAAAATATGTGAAGATATCGCAGACGTTTCTATTCACCAGGACAAAAAAGTAGAGGAAACTATAAATATTGATTTGATCATATGCAGGAAAGAATCATTGTAGCAGTACATACATTAAATGCAGACATTTTAATTCGAGTTTGCACCAAAATTGGATATCATATAGACTGTACTGTAAATTTCTTTCCCCTCCTTCAGTATTTACTTTCCTCTTAAATATTACTTAACTGGAGTTTGGTAGATGTATTTACAATTAAATCTTGAATGCTTTATTTTGGGTACACAGTTGCCTTTCTACTTTAATTTTGATCAAATTACAGTATCTTTTCTCGATGCTGTACGTTTTGTTCGTCAAATATCATTCTGTATTATGATTAGTTGCTTTTAGATCTTCTCACGCATTTCAATATTTATTTACTGATATATTTCCATCTCAGTAAAGAAGAATTTTATCTGAACTTTCCATCTGGTATTTCGTAAACTGTACGATCCGGAAACTTTATTTTTAATGATGCATCACCAATCTGCAGCTTACTTTACCTAGCATACAGTTTTTGAATTTTTTATTTTATCCATTGGCTTTTGATTTAAACACTTTAGATTATAACAAATAATTTTTATTAATATTTCAAATCTTTTTTACAAGTTGATATATATTTTATTCTATTTTAGCTATGATGAGTGTAATGTACTTCTATTGTATTACTCCCACAATTTTTATGTAATATCACTTTTTAATAAGTTGATAATTAATAATTTTATTTATTATAAGTAATTTTTACGTGTGGTCGTAAGTTTATAGTATGATCATAAATGTTTTATTAAAATCACGTTGCAGGTTTGGTAAATGAATTTCTGATTACTGCCTGTTGGATAGAATAAATCAACAATGGGGATATCCAGTCTTTGGATTATTTAACAACTGTTTTTTGCTGCAACAATTTTACAGATTTCATTTAATAATTAATCATTTAAAAAAATCCTTTTTCAAGTAAATACTAAAAATTCATTAGCGTATTCATGTATTTTCTATATTTACTAGGCATTTTAATTTTTAAAGAGTCTTTAACTAAATGACGTTTCCCGCCTAAGGCATGCATGTTAACCTTTCGTATTTTATGCCTCTTTCCTTATTTCTTTTCCACATATATATTCAAAGTTTGATTTGCCATCATTCCATTACATCATTTTATATTTAAACATGATTTTTCAGTCTTAAAACACATCCTTAAGTTGTTATATTGCAGTTTTTTTATAAATTTTAGTTTAATACTTTTGATTCCATTTTATACGTTCAGTTGATAATGTATGTGTATTGAAACACAAAACCAGCTGATTGATGCTTTCAATTCATTTAATGAACAAATAATTAACATACAGGAATAAAATTATATACTAATAGAATATTATTAAATAGATTTTGGTTTAAATTAAGATGTAAAATTAATAGTTTGGATATGGAGTTGCACGTGCCCGAGTTACGTTTCGAGCAGTGTTTAAAAAGTTAATGTATTGCTTTTAAGGCTACACTGCTTCATGAACACGTATCTGAACAAAATAAAATGATTCAAATATAGAATTGATTTTTTATTAAAATGCTTACTGGCGATTTTTCTAAGCTTTTATTTAGCTCACTAATAGTGCTTGTCGCTGTGGTCAGAAGTTTGAAATCGCTTTCCAATTTGTAAATTGCTACATATTTATTGGTAAAATTTTGTTTACGCATTGTTATCATAACTAAATACCTTTTATTTATAAATTATTATATTTTCATTCATTATTAGTACTATGCATTAATCATTTTTACTGCATAATAATTAAGGTTACATTAATTTGGTGTTACATTAACAGTGGGAATGGCTTTTTAATGCTTCCCATGCGATAATTCTTAATACTGCTTACATAAAATTCAATATATTAAGAACGAATTTAGTATATACCCCTGACTCAAAAAAATTATTAACTTTAGAGAGAGAAATTGCTGTGAAGATCAAAATGTTCTTTAATACTTTTCATTTTCTCTATACTTTTTCTGCTCTTACTCCGGCAAACTCCTGTCACATTATTTTCCACTTTCTTCGCAAGTGTTGACAACAACGTACTTATCGAATTAGCTCTCGTGGAGTAAATTGGTGTCAAATTTTGTTCTTCTTGCAGCATTTTATTTATGTCGTTCCGTCTAGCCTTTCCAAGATCCCGATGAAGAATGACAACTCTCTGACAATAACCCCAGGGTACACTGCTTGATGACGCTTTCCGATGTTAAGACACAAAGTTACAGTTTCTGTAAAGGGGATTTTGTTAAAGTGTACTGGCTTATATGTCGTATAAATTTCAGCATGTTTCAAGATATAAAAAGATTTAGAGCTATCTTAAAGAAATCATCATGTAAGTGTTCGTTTTAATTACATAATTTTCATAAAATATGTTTTTCTATTTGCATAAAGTGGAGAGGTTTGTAAGAGTAATGCATATTAGAGGCTATTTCTTGTATAATGCAATCTAGAGGAAATTCAGTTCCATTATTTAAATAATTCTTAGCCGTGAAAAGAAAAAAAATATCCTAACAATTGGCGAAGAGATGGATTTGCTAGATTTGGTCTTCTTTGGTAATGGAAAGCTGTTGTCTTAGCCATGAATTTCATGGAAAAATAGTTGCCAGAGCCTCAAGGAGGTTGGAATTCTATTTCCTTCCCAAATTTGAGAGAGAGCACCCCCGGGGATGTCCGAGGGTCTCCACCCCTCTTTTCTACTACCAGTCCA